AAATAATAAAAAAATCATCGCCAAAGATGAAGACCAGGGGGCCCACACCCTGTCCATGAGGGTGGGGGGCGCCCCCCTAGGGCGCGCCCCTACCTCATGGGCCCCCTAGAGACCTCCCGACTCCAACTCCAACTCTATATATTTTCTTTCGGGGAGAAAAAATGGAAGAGAAGATTTCATCGCGTTTTACGATACGGAGCCGCTGCCAAGCCCTAAAACCTCTTGGGAGGGCTGATCTGGAGTCCGTTCGGGGCTCCGGAGAGGGGAATTCGTCGCCGTCGTCATCATCAACCATCCTCCATCACCAATTTCATGATGCTCACCGCCGTGCGTGAGTAATTCCATCGTAGGCTTGCTGGACGGTGATGGGTTGGATGAGATTTACCATGTAATCGAGTTAGTTTTGTTAGGGTTTGATCCCTAGTATCCACTATGTTCTGAGATTGATGTTGCTATGACTTTGCTATGCTTAATGCTTGTCACTAGGGCCCGAGTGCCATGATTTCAGATCTGGACCTATTATGTTTTCATCAATATATGAGAGGTCTTGATCCTATCTTGCAAGTCTATAGTCACCTATTATGTATTATGATCCGTTAACCCCGAAGTGACAATAATCGGGATACTTACCGGTGATGACCGTAGTTTGAGGAGTTCATGTATTCACTATGTGCTAATGCTTTGTTCCGGTTCTCTATTAGAAGGAGGCCTTAATATCCCTTAGTTTCCATTAGGACCCCGCTGCCACGGGAGGGTAGGACAAAAGATGTCATGCAAGTTCTTTTCCATAAGCACGTATGACTATATTCGGAATACATGCCTACATTACATTGATGAATTGGAGCTAGTTCTGTGTCACCCTATGTTATGACTGTTACATGATGAACCACATCCGGCATAATTATCCATCACTGATCCGATGCCTACGAGCTTTCCATATGCTAGTTTACGCTTATTTACTTTCCCGTTGCTATTGTTACAATCACTACATAATACCAAAAATATTACTTTGCTTTCATTACTGTTTTGTTACCGTTACCACCACTATCATATTACTTTGCTACTAAACACTTTGCTGCAGATACTAAGTTTCCAGGTGTGGTTGAATTGACAACTCAGCTGCTAATACTTGAGAATATTCTTTGGCCCCCCTTGTGTTGAATCAATAAATTTGGGTTGAATACTCTACCCTCGAAAGCTGTTGCGATCCCCTATACTTGTGGGTTATCAGCGCCCGCCACGTCGGACACGACAGCCCGACCCTACCAAAAGTTGGACCAAATCCACCAAACCCTTCCTCCTCCTCCCGCCGCCCTCCAACCTTTCCCGTGCCCAAGCCGTCGCTGTCCGCCACCCTTGCTCCCCATCCTCACCGCCGGTCTCGATCCACCGCCATAGATGTCGTCCAGCCCATCCCTGGCCGCGGCGACGGAGACGCAGTCCGCCTTGTCAGTCGGCGTCACTTCCTCGGCTCCGTCTTGCAAGGCGGAGAACGTCGCCTGGAAGATGCGGCGACGCTGACAGCGGGCGGCGGCATCGCAAGGAGGTGCAGACATGGTCGAGGAGCTATCTTCCCCTCCCCTCCGCGCCCGGAACCCTGCACCCCTTCCATCCGAGTGCCGACACGGATTATGCCGTCCGATCCCGTTGGGATAGAGGAGGATTTGACGGCTTGCTGGGCCATTTCGGAGAGCTTTTCGCCCATGCACATGCTGGTGGTGGACGTATGTGACTCGCCTAAGCTTTCGGGTGCGGATGAGCACGGGCACCGGCGGCGCCCGGGCTCCCCTCAACATGTTTGACGGAATGACGGAACAAGAGTCGGTACGTTTTATTTGCTCATATCCGATCAAAGTTGCATACGACATGTTCAATGTTTTCCATAGACCACTAGTTCATTTCACACATGATGAATTCTTGCAAACCATGATCATCTAGGAGCCGTTCTTGTCGAACATGATCAATGACAATAAAGATCCGACCGAAATGGAGTATGAATTGGAGGACACCACCGGATTTGAAATTGGGACAACATGCGATCCCAATCCGAGTAGGAAGAAGAAGAAGAAGAAGTAGAAGAGGCAAGAGGTCCGACAATCTCAAGATTTGAGGACATCTTGTTGGTCAAAGCTTGGTCGGCCACGACAATGGATCCAATATGCGGCACCGAGCAAAAGGGGAACGCATATTTGGAGAAGATTTGGAAGGAGTATCACGAACAAAAGGAGCATGTGGAGCCGCACCCTATCGTGAGCACTCCAATGTGGCATCTCTCCAACATCGATGGGGGATCATTCAACGACAAGTGGACAAGTCGGGTACTACTCACAAGTGACCAAACACCCTCAAAGTGGGATGGGGGTGGCAACTCACGTAAGCTCATCTTGTCGCCATTTGCATATGCTTCTTGTGTTTGCATTCTCATGCTCATACATGTGTTGTTTGCTAGATAGTGGTGGTGGCCACTTTGTATCACGATGTGGAGAAGAAGCCGTTTGCCTTTTAGCCATTGTTGGATCATATTGAATGGCAAGTGGAAGTGGACGAAACTTGTGGCCGATCTCAAGTCTGGCAAGAAGAGGAATGATGGCTCAAGCTCCCATCAATCAACTGGGTTGGACGATGAAGAGGACGATGTCGTCGTCACGAATGGAAGAGCCACCGTGCCAAAGGAGAACCGACAAGTCATGGAAAATAAGTGGGAGAAGGCATGAGCCCCATGACTACAAAAAAGTCGTCCACATGGACAGACATTTTTTCCGGTAATGGAGAACAAGAAAGAGGAGAGGTACAAGCTCATGTTGGATGTGCAAAAGGAGAGGATGGAGTGGGACCGGAAGAGGGCGGAGAAGAAGCTGGAAATTGAGAGGGAGAAGATCGAGTTGGAGAAGCAAGAGGCGGCGATCAAATGGGAACTCGAGAAGGCCAATACATTTGGGGAGATTGAGCTTGAGAAGGAGAGGTTGCAACTCGCACGGGACGCGAAGGATGCGAAAATCATGTTGACGGACGAAACCCTCTTGGATGAACATGAAAAGAAGTGGCTTGCGGACAAGAAGGAGATCAACGACCGTAGGGAGTACGAGGCGGCGAGGGCGGCATCGGATCATGCGGCTAGGATGCAGGCGGAGCAAGACACATTCCGCCTGGGCTCGGAGCAGGCGCCATGGATGGCGCCCGGGCAGTGATCCGAAGCCATCCCTCATGCCTGGACATTGATTTTATTTTGACATGTCCAGTTTGTTGAACTATGATTTGCTTTGCTTTGTTTCGAACAGTTGAATTCAGACAATTTGTATGGTATAATCGACGTGCATGGATCGCATGTATTGGAGGATCGGCATTTGAGATATTTGGATGTGCGGCCAAGCATATGAGGTGCCGGTGGGCGATGTCCGTGGACACGCCTGAGGGCGTATGAAGGACCGGATTTATCAAGCCTGGCTGTAGATGCTCTTAGCGTGCACATCCCATGCATTTTCAACCTGAACCTATGGTCAGGGGCTGACCTTGGAATTTTATGGAGTTGGGCGTGGCACTTGAAAAATTCCAATTTTCTTTTATATATTTCAGAATACAAGCAAATCCCTATTGAGATTTAAAAAAACGAGTGACTCATCAGCAGTAGTCAGCACTCCATTTAACCATTTGTAGTTGGACCGGAGCAGACGTTTATGTAGATTTGAATTGAATGCGCGGTCGGGTCCTACCTAGGCCGGCAAAGCAGGCTGTGCAAGCCGTGTGACCCAGTGGCGTCACTCCGTTCCACTGCTCGCTAGTTTTGGCGTCTTCCTTCCGTTCCACCTACTGTGCTGTGCCTCTTGCACGCGGGCCCCGCCCCCGCCTCCCCGAGGGAGGGAGCGTCGTCTCTCCGGACAGACGCGGTCGCAGCGGCGGGCACGTTCCGTTCCGCACGGAGCCGCCACGTCGTCCGCGAAATTCGAAATCCCGGCCTGCCGCCCCTCCCCCCGCGTCCCTGACCAGTCCACCGCAGCACCTGCCTCGGGGCGGCCGCCCTCCTCGCCGAAAAAGAGGGGCGCACGGGAAAGTAAAAGAGGGAAAAAGGTTAAAGAAAGAGGGCACGGCACGCACGCTCGCTGGCTTGGCTTGGCCTGGCCTGGTTACCTACCGCAGTTCGAATTCAAATCCCCGCTGCTGCTGGTGGAAGCGGAAGGAGAAGGGGCCGGATCGGAGGCTTCTCTCCCCAGGCACAGGCAGGCAGCTCCCGCGGCGGAGACCCACGGGCGGAGCGCGCTGTAAGTGCCGCTCCCTTCCTGCCTCCATCCTCTCGCCGCCCTCTGCTGCCGTGCCAGCCAAGCTAAGAGGAAGTTCGAATCCGGAGCGACTCGCGTGCGCCGTGCTCTAGCTGCTCCCTGCGCTTCTGCTCCGAGGCGAGGGAGGGAAAATAACACTGTTCGTGCGCGGCGTCATCTTGTCATCTTCGGGGTAGTCTAGTACTGGGGGGCTCCGATTTGTGCCCCGATTCGCGGGCTGCCGCGCGTTCAGTTCATATTCTGACGCGGCGTTGCTGAGATTCGTTCGACCCCTATGGTGGCCTTTTCTAGGGGTTTAGCCGTACGTTTGGGGGTGGGGTGGGCGGGTGCTCTGCTGCTGGTACGCCGCAGCAAGCTCAAGCTCCACATACATGTGCCGGCGATGGATGGTTGGATGATGCATTTGCGATTTCTGTCAGCTCAGTCCGTATCGATTTAGTCTAGTACTCTGTCCGGCTGGTTTCCATTCAGTTGCTCCCTGTTTCAGTTTCAGTTTCAGTTTCAGTTTCAGTTGATTTCTGAATCCCGGTGCACGATTTGTTGTCACTTGTTAAAATTTTGAATCTCACTGTGCTCGATTTCAAATTGCTTTGCAGGGATCAAGCCATGGGTGGCGTTGGAGCTACCACCCCCAGCCCTCAGCCTCAGGGGAAGATGAAGACATCCGCCCCCTTCTGCACCCGCCACTGAGACCGACCCCCGCCAGTTCGTCGCCCCGCCGCCGAAATGAAGTCCAGCACGGCCGCCCCGTCCAAGGGCAAGGCGGCGTTCGAGCTCAAGCACAGGCTGCTCCAGGCCCTCAACAAGATCGCCGACAGGGACACCTACCAGATCGGCCTCAGCGAGCTCCACGCCACCGTCGACGCCCTCGCCCCGGACATGGTTGGCCCCTTCCTCTCCTGCGTCATCGACACCGACGCGGACCAGAAGAGCGCGGTGCGCAAGGAGTGCGTCAAGGCCATCGGCGCGCTGGCGCGGTCGCACGGGGCCCTGCTGGCGCCGCACATGCCCAAGCTGGTCGCCAGCGTCGTCCGCCGCCTCAAGGACGCCGACTCCGTCGTCCGGGACGCGTGCGTCGACACCTGCGGCACCCTCTCGGCGTGCGCCAGGGAGTTCGGGGACGGCGGCGCCGCGCTGGTCGCGCTGGTGCGGCCGCTGTTCGAGTCGCTGGGCGAGCAGAACAGGTATGTCCAGGCCGGGGCCGCGCTCTGCCTGGCCAAGGTCATCGATGAGAGCAGCTACTTCCCTGGCCCTGTTCTGCCGCAGATGCTTGTCCGTGTTGTTAAGATCCTCAAGAACCCGCATTTCATGGCCAAGCCCGCCGTGATCGAGCTGCTCAGAAGCATTGTTCAGGTCCCTCTCCTGCTCTCCTATATCAATACTTGCATTGTAATTGAACCCCTTCATGCACTAGCACTCTAGCAGCACTACTGCATATATGTTCTCTCTATTTTGGCATGATTACCTTGCTTGTTTAGCTGAGATGAGGGCTTTGCTTTTATCATCTTTAGTTTCTTAGTATGTATTTAGCCATTCTGGTCCATCATTTTTATCAGAACATGGTCTAGGTAGTTGAACGATTTTGTAGTCATGGCATGCATCATTAATTGCCATAAATTAGTACTGGTGATTAGTAGTAGTATCATGGGAAGGAAGCATGCTGCATTGTAATAACAGGGTAGCTGTTGTTTAATGGCTGCTCAGCAGTTTGTAATAACAGAGCACCTGTGATATAATGGCTGCTCAGCAGCTTGTCACACAAAATACATCTAGCTTGCCTTTTAAAGTCGGGTGTCGCTGCTGCTTGTTCACTCCGAGTATGCTTCACACTGCTAGTATGCTTGGCATCTATTTCTGCTGGAAATTCAGACAATATATATTTTCTAGAAGCAGAGTGATTATCTATTTATCTTCATCTTCAATTTTATGTTGTAAGTTGTAACTTGAGATTGACCTTAGCATTCTGTTGATGTTCTAATTTTTGTAGGCTGAAGGTGCTTCTACAGAGCAGGCTTTATCATCAGCACTAACAAGTATTATGGATTCCCTGAAGAGTAGTGACTGGACTACAAGGAAAGCAGCTTCTCTAGCTCTTTCAAGTATTGCTGTCAGCTCTGGATATTTGGTTGCGTCTTTCAGAACTTCCTGCCTTCGATCCCTTGAACGCTGTAAATTTGACAAGGTAGGTACACACATCGTGAAATTGATGCAGTGACATTTTTTTTGCATATGCTATAGTAATGTTTGTGCTTCCTATGATAGGTAAAACCGGTGCGTGATGCTATTACCCATGCCATACAGTTGTGGAAAGCTATTCCAGGGTCTGAGACTCCTGAACCATCAGAAGCTGGATCATCCACAAAAGGTATATATTCCTTTAATAATAACTCACTGTTTGTCTAATGTGCAGGAAAGCAGATGCAATACTTTGTTTTGAAGCATTAACTCAACTAACATAATTAGATTTGTTTCTATTATGTGTACTGAAATCTTCTCTTCCCTGGCAGAAAACTTTTTTGGCGACCATAATGATGCCAGAAGTGTACATGATGGTGGATCAAGAGCGACTTCTTTTAGGAGAGTTGAGCCTACACCTTCAGCATCTGTTGTCAGTGGCAGTTCTATCACTTCGGTAAAGAAGAGATCCCCATTGTCTGTCAACAAGATACCTCAAAACAATGCCTCAAATCAGCAGCATTTGAAGTCAAGTGACTGGCATGTGGAAATATCAGTCCCTAAGCAGAATACAGTGCCAGATCTAGTGAAAAAGGGATATGGCAGCAACCGCATGTTGAAATATGCAAAAGGAAGTCCTTATGGAATTGTAGATGAAGACATCAAGTCTGACTATGACCCTATGGATGATAAACAAGAATGCTCCTCTTTATCAGAAGTAGCCAGCAGGAGCTATGAGACGAAGCATGTCACCTCTGCTCTGGAAGTCACTGAAGATGTCACTGAGCTTTGCCCTAGGGCCCGAGAGACCAAGAGCATAGACTCCACTGTTACAGATGTCACTTCACATGGCACACATACTTGTTGTCTGAGTGCGACAAAAGAACTAGCCCTTATTAGGAAGCAACTACAAGAGATGGAAAGGAAGCAAGCAAATCTTTTTGATCTTTTGCAGGTGAGTCATCTTGTTGAATTAACTCCTTTCTATACTTGCCCAATTTACACAATGTTTATCTATGTGATCTGATAGCATTATCTATGATTTATAGAAAAATAATGCATATTCTTCACATGGAAAAATGCTGTGCTGTATACAAATACTTATGAACAAACCACGTATGTAAAGATGTACTGCAAAGAATTGCCTTCCCAAGCACCTTTTTTGTACTAACTACTGTGGAGCAAAAGCGCACTCACTTTTTTTCACCTGTTTCTTGTAGGAGTTCATGTCGAATTCTGTGGAGAACATGTCAGTGCTGAACTCAAAAGTACACAATTTGGAGTATGCTGTAGACAAAACTGTGTATACAATTACTCAGAGTGAAAGCCGCTATCAACTTCCTGGCTCCAAGGGTTTTAAGAACCAGAGTGTCTCTTCTTCACCCAGGCTTTCTAATTCAACACCTAGATCATCCGTTGATGCCAACTTTAGGCCACCAACAATTCCTCATTTGAAACAAGAGAAGAAGTGGGCTCACGATCTACCATCTAAGGGCATGAGCACTTGTGTAAAAGAGGGTCATGAATTTCTGAAGGCCCATGCTCGTAACAGAGTTATGAAGCCTGGGGCTGGGAGCTCAGAGGAAAGTTACATTCCAAGTTTAGTGAGGGATCGAGCATCTGGGGTCAAGGGGACCTTCCCGGTTCCATTTACGAGTCCATGTGATCAGTCTGATCTGCAAAATGCATTGTGTGCTTCTAATCAGGCTGGCGAGTTTCGCGGTGCTGACGGCATGGAGCCTGCATATGCTGAAGCCCTTAGCTATGGTGATTCTGATGATCTGATTGACCTGATGGACAGAACTGGGCCTGTTCTTGACAAGCTGTCGCGTGAAACGGCAAATGAACTTTTAAGGGTTATTGCTGACCAGTTCCTTGGCACAAAGTTATTTGACTTGGCCCTACCTTGGATTCAGCAGGTAAGCTAAGTACTAGTAGCAATCTGTTTATACCTGCAATCATCTCCATGTCTGAAGAACTACAGTTGTGCATTTGCTGATTTGTGTGTGTCCGCCCAGGTGGTGGATCTAAGCACGGTTTACAAGCCGAGCCAAGTCTTTGTGTCCGCGAGAGCACAGAGGGAGTTCCTTGCTGCACTGGAGGAAGCAGCAACCAGCGGATCCACAGAACCAGCCGTCAGAATCGCCATCGTGCAGCTTGCATTTAAACTGACCAAGGCTTGTGAGGCCGCCCCATGCAGGTAATCCACATCGTCCATGGACAGTGACTAGCAAGTGCTCCACCAGTTTCTGCCACCCAATTTTGGTTTCCTGTTTTACTGATGGATGCATCCATTCTGCTGTTGCAGGAAAATCTCAACCAGAGTATCCAGGGGAAGCGAATCCGTCGTCATGGCCACCGTGATGTGAAGTACTTCTTCCTTGTGATGTGACCCTAATGTGTGTCGAGGCATCAAACAATGTCCTTGCAGTGGTGTTCTAGTGAGATTGTTTTCTTTTCTTGTCGCGACGATGTATACTAGGTCTCGATTACCGTATGCAAGTCAGTAGTAGTGGTTTGCTAGCTAATCATATGTGTACTAGGTCTCAGAAGAGGTGGTGGTTGTTGTAGCCTTTTTCGTTTTCTTTTCTCGAACACTCGTCGTAGTGCGTGTCATTGTGTATTAGAAGAAGAATGCCGAGATGGCGCTTGCTGTGTTAGCCTTGTGTGGTGTTTGCTCTCTTGCGAGAGGTGATCAACGAGCTTGTGAGTTTATGTTGTGATCAAAATGTCAGTGCTGATGATCTTTGATGTTACTACCTACTTATGCTTGCCCAAAAGCTTTCTTTTCAGTGAAGTATCAGACTTGCTTACATGTGCTCTCTTTACATGGGTAAACACACGGGGAAAGAAGAACTCAGTGCAGTTACATGTTCACTACATTTTCAAACATGACACATTTCACTACAGTAGAAAAATGTAGCACCCACACTCACATACACTCACTTTTTACATTGTCTAGCTTAACCAGTGTTGCTTACCCTCATATGCTGTTCTAGTAAGTATATTCAGATGGACGGGCATCACCAATCCGAGATGTCGCTGCGCATTGACGCGCTGTAGAGGCCGCCGCCCCTCCTGCTGCTGGCGCTGCGCTGGACGCAGCCGGTGAGCTCCTGTGACACCTCTGACATGGGCGGCCGCAACCGTGGGTCAGACTGCAGGCATTTTGCAGCCACCAACAAAGAGCAGTTTTCAGATTTAATTTTACATGCGAGAATTGATCAGTTTTTCTGAGGATTTCAGTGAGAGCGCTGAACCTGGACGCAGCGGGTGATCACGTCGGCGAAGCGGGACAGCGCCTTGGGCGGGTACAGGCCGCGCAGGGCCGGGTCTGCCACCGATCCCAGGGCATCGCTGTCGTGGAGCTGCGGCGTCACAAACTTGACCAAGGACTGCTCATTTATCGGCTTTGAGCTGGGGATCAGACAACAGCTCACATATTACCATTTCAGTTCACAGGAATTTTGCAGGAAACAACTGCTTGCTTTACCTATCGTAGGACTTCCGGCCGGTTAATAGCTCGAGCATGACCACACCAAAACTGTACACGTCGCTCTTCATCGTGTAAGCCGATGGCCTTGTGCACTCCGGGGGACTGTACCCTGGCCCCAAGCTCTCGTTTGGATCCTGCAGAGAATTTCCATGTCAGAAGATTGCCCTCATTCTACGAGCAAGTGAAAATCGTTATCTCATGGCGCAAACAAGCAAACCTCGTAGAAGAATGCGAGGCCGCAGTCGGAGAGGTGAGGGTTGAGGTCGGCGTCGAGCAAGACATTGGATGACTTTATGTTCTTGTGGATGATCGGAGGCGAGCAGATCTCATGCAGGTACCTAAACAGAAACAAAACCTTTAGCATCCTAATTATCTTATGAACTCACTATGCTTCAGTGTTGCTTGTCAACTTACTCCAGAGCCTGAGCTGTACCGAGAGCGATCCGAACGCGGGTATCCCAGGTGAGAGGCTTGCTGTAATCGTCTGACAAATGCAGGAACTCATGGAGGGACCCGTTCATATGGTGCTCATACACCATGATGTAGTGCCCGGGCTCCGCGCAGTAGCCCACAATCTCACAGATGCTCGGTTGGCGCAGCCTGGAAATGCAGGTGACAAGCTCCACAAAGTCGCTTCTCTCTGAGAAGCTCAGCGGATCAAACTTCTTGATAGCCAGCACCTGAAAAATCATCACGGTAAACAATAAGCTTCGATTACGGGACATGGTCATCATGTTCAGGCCTCTTGACTCTCCAAGCATTTTTCTTCAGGCCACTTGACAGAAATAAACTGCCAAAAACATTCAGTTCAACAGCATTTTGCTGCAACATGTTTTATATGCATATCTGACACCATTTTGTAGATGAAACTATAAGTTCTAGGCAACGTTGACTTCTCGAGATGATATTGTGGGATAGTTTATTTTTCTCTGAATTTGGAGGGAAATCATGAGGACCTACCTGTCCGTTGGCATATTTTGCCTTGTAAACCCGGCCGACCGTTCCCTGGCCTATTATCCTGCTACTGTGCCAGTTGCCAGTGGCCGCTTGTAGCTCTGACGATGAGTAGGTCAGCAGGCTGATCGGTTCCAAGATCCGCCTAGAATTGTTTAGCATGATCTGAAACTTATTGTCGTTCATCGTCTTGTAAGGCACAGAAGGCAGTGTTACACTGTCAATCGACGTCGATTTTTCCAGCGGCTTCATGCTGACTATTGAAGAATGGCCTGCAAAAGGGAAGACAAGAACCCTTATTATCCCAAGCCAAAATGTAGAAGTACCTGCAAACACTAGTGTTTGCATCAGTAAACGTGCTCTTGTCGAAAGGAACGTAAATTGTCGGTTCTGACCTGACTCGTCCATGTAGTAATGAGACGAGATGGGAGAGGATCGCTTCATCTGCAACACTGACAAGAGAATAACAGCTGCAAGGAGCACAGCTATGATCATTGCTCCGATAAAGAAACCGTTGATCCCGACGTCACTCTCTTCGCTCGATGAGGCTCCCGCCGAAGACCCCTTCTCCATCCCAGGAGGAGCCGACCCGGATGACCACTGGTTCCCACCAGTCCTTGAGAATGTAGTTAGCACTGTCAGAACTGATGAAATTGTAGTGCAAAAGGAGCAATGTTGGGTGCAGGTACCACTTACTTGAGGCTGTCGATTTTTTTCAGTTTACTTGGAATCCACCCGGTGAACTTGTTGTTCTGCAGATTCCTTGAGCACAAAGGGAGGAAAACCGTTCTAGCTTAGTTCTGAATCATCACACTCATGCAAATATATGGATTTGAATCAGTACCTTTTCAAGTAAAGTAAGCAAAATTAAGAATTATTTTTACATGCATTTATATTAACAACACTGCTTCTTTTGCATTTCCATGTTGAAGTAATTAACCAGAAGCATACACTTTTAACCATGGCGATAAAATTGGTTTGAGGTGGCAGTATTTACTCGGGGTATACTTACAGATCCTCCAGAGAAGAAAGTTTGGCCAGAACGTCGACATGGCCAGTGAACTGGTTGCTCTCCAAGTTCCTGGATATATATTTTGAAAAGATTGACAGTCATTTGTTGATCCAAAGGAGAAATAGCCAATGAAGTTCCTAAAAATCCAGTTGCCTTACAGTGTCTTGAGGCCTGTGAGGTGCTGGAAACTCTGGGGCAGGTTACCGGAGAGGCGGTTGTCAGAGAGATCCCTGATGACACAAATAGAATTGCTTACTGTAAGAAGAAAATTAATGAGCTCTGGTCAAATCAAGCATCACAGGCTAAATCTCTGTTACCGCGACATTACCAACAAACTAGTAGAGTTGTGGTAAATTTATCAAGGGGTTAATACTACAATGAACACTGAATTTGGTATGCATAACTTACATTGTCGAGAGCTTTGGAAGTTGCGTGAACATGTCCGTCAACTGCCCGCTTAAGTGATTGCTTCCGACGTTTCTGCGGTCCATTGAAAAGGCAGTTTGGTGACCGATCCATTCAGGAAAAACAATCATCATCGGAAAAAAAGACGGCAGCATGAAATAGGTTCTTACAGTGTCTCTAGATCAGACATCTGAGATACCGAATAGGGAATCCCGCCGGTAAACGCATTCCCTTGCAGGTTTCTGTATCACAACATATCATAAAACACACTGGTTTAACTAATGGGATTACCCGTGCCAACAGCAACTATGGAAGGAAAAAAGCCCAGGAAAATGAACTTACAGCTGAACCAGGTTGGGTGGGAGCGAGTAGGGGATCTCGCCGCTGAGCTTGTTGTCGCTCACATCGCTGTGCTACGCAAAAGAAGGGAAAGCTGAACTAAGTTGCGCAACCAACGGCGGCGGCGGTCGATGAACCGGAGAGAAGATTTGGGTTCACAGTTGGGCATGACTCACAATTTGGTTACTGATTTGAGGCTGGACAGCTGGAAGCCGAGGTTGCCGGTGAGGTCGAGCCCCGACAGGTCACTGCTCCATGCAGAGCGATCAAGCCACAAAACAAAGCTGTTAAACATTCTGTGTGAGGAAGAAGGGGATGGATGACAAAGGAAGCTTGAGATTTCACGATGGTCTTGAGCAGGAAATTTCCTGATCCCCTTTGTTTGGCGGTTATTACATTTTGGTGACGGAATTGTCGCTGCAGTCGACCCCTCTCCAGCCGTCGTCGTCGTCGCAGGGGTCGCCGCCGTCGGCCTTCCAGTTGTCCAGCTTGGACGGCTTGTGCATGCTGGTGAAGAGCACGTTCAGCGCCTCCACTGGTGAAACATGGCGGTAAAACGCACAAAATGTTCTTCAGCATTGTAATGTTCAGAAGGCAGGAAACGGGAGAGAAATTCCCGGTCTCTCTCGCTCACCGTCGGCCCGGTCGGTCTTGGCCACCGCGACGGCGACCACCGCGGAGAGGAGGAGGAGGAGGAGGAGGAGGGCGGCGAACGGCCGCCGTGGACGGGCCATGGCGGGTGGGCGGAGGACCGGGCCTGTCAGGGGGGAGCATGCAGGAGGAGGTCACCTCTCCTCCTCTCGCTCATGGGCATGTGGATGTGGGTTTCTAAAATTGGGAGGGAGGCGGGAGGAGGGTGGGGAAGATGGCGCCGGCCGGGCGGCGAGAATGGCGGGAAGCCCCTCGTTTTGAAGGTCCCATCTCTCTCCCATGGGGCGTCTCACCTGACCTGTATGGTCCAATTGATACAAAAGGTAACCCAGATCAGTGTCAACAAGCTCCGTCGTAGTCTAGGTGGTTAGGATACTCGGCTCTCACCCGAGAGACCCGGGTTCAAGTCCCGGC